TGTTCCACTGCCCTCAGGATTGGAGATACCCTATCTATGCTGATTCCTCAACTAAAGAATAAGTTGCTTGGTTCGGCCACATCTATGTGTATCTACGTGTCCATCTGCTCCTTTGGAGAAAGCTATATTAGACAAACAACCAGAAAACTGAGTAAACGTGTTCATGAACACCTCCCTTCATGGTTAGGTAAGAGTATTATCAAAACAATACACAGTTCAGTTCTATCACACCCGATCGATAGCCGCCATGTTGTAGATAGAAATAGGTCATTTACAGTTATTTATCGTATATGTATATAAATATTACTATAAATTAAAGCCTGATAAAGATTTAATCGAAAACAGTATTGTTCGCTTATGTATATTGTTCTAATTCACAATATGGGAATTTTTTTGAAAAACGTTTGTTAGACATCGAAAGGTCAAATTATATTAACCTTGGTTAATCAGTTACTAGTTCGTGTCGATGTTACCTCTCTTAATCTTGTGAATAAAGATTACAATATTTAGAATCATTTCTTTGAACAATAATGACAATTCAATGGAATTAAGTACAACTACTGCTCATTTAAGTAATAAATTTCAAATTGAATAAGATACAAATTTTGAACTGTATGGTTATCCATAATGAAAATAAGTATAAAAAGTTAATTTAATTTAACATAGGTCCTAGATTCGAATCTTGCGGGGCGGAATCGTGAATACACACCGCTGAAGAGTCCCATACTAGGATGAAACGGCCATCCAGTGTTTTCAGTTCTAGCTTCAATTGATTCATGAATTCAACTATTAAATTACTATAATATCCACAAAACCCCTTTCTGACCATAAACATTACTTTATTCAGCATATTGATTATTGTTTCCTAACCTACTATGTGATAGAATAAACCAGATCCCAGCGGAGGAAAAAATCAAGAAGAAGCATTGGAAGTGAATAGGGCACAGATTGAGGAAAGCACCCAATTGTGTCACAAGACAAGCCCTCACTTGAAATCCTCAAGACTAAATGAAAGGAGGAAGACCAAAGAACACATTACTCCGGGAAATGGAGATAGACATGAGAAAAATGAACAAAAGAAGGCTCAGGACAGAGTGGGTTGGAGACTGCTGGTTGGCAGCCTATACTCCATTGGGAGTAGCAGGCGTAAGTAAATAAGTAAGTAACTGAAATCAATTTAAAAGAATTGTCTTTCATTCACTTCAAGCCAATAAGTGTATTCTTATTTTCAAAACTTTCGATCTGATATAGACAAATATTTACTATGTTTAAATTGTTTTTGGTTTCATTTATGTTTTAGATTACCCTTATGGTTAAATGATTTTATAGATTCAAAAATTAGAAATCATTAAAGCGTATAGAGATAATAATTAATATCATATCAAATATTTGGTAACTAGAATAAGTTTACTTCAATAGAAGCAGGAGATTCATAGATAAATTCTGATTTTAATAGTTGGATTCATAAGTCGTTGTAAGCTTGACTACTATTGAAAATCTGAAAGCACTGGACAGGCGTTTCGTTCTAGTATGGACCTAGTATGGCTCCAAGATGATTTCCTGGAATTCTAGTGAGACGTTGTAACCAGTGCAGTCCAATCTGTATTAGGCAGAGACAGGTATCTACCTCATACAATGGATGGGTGGTTGCTCAACCATTCATGGATCTATGGAAGTTAAGCATTAACAGCATTAGATACCGGCCCAGTGGTCTAGAGGTTAAGTGTTCGTGCCCGAAACCGAGAGTCCTGAGTTTGAATCTCGCATGCGAGGTAGTGGACGCTCACTACTGAAGAGTTCCACACTAGTCCAAAACGGCTTTCCAGTACTTCCAGGTTTTGAATGTGGTCTAGCTTACATCGAATCATCAATTCAACTATTAAAATTACTACAAACTCCACAAACCCTATTCTGATCATCAAATACTGATTTCACAATTTTATAGATTCAATAAACTCAAGAAATAAAAACATTTTGATCCCAAAATTATTATTATTATTATTATTATACTAAATATTTACTTATATTCTGATGTTTTAGGATAAGAAAACGATGTACACCTTCTATCTTCATAATAATTGTTGACCTGTTCTAAATAAAGCTAACTTTGATTTATACAGCGGGACAATATTATCAGCTATTGTCAGTCAGTCAGTCAGCAACAATGTAGAACTTCACACTCATGTACATCAGTTCGAGTTGCCATACCACATTAGCACACAGATATAATTGTCAATTCAAATCCTATAGTGGTAGAGGTAGTAAAAGTATAAGCAGTAATTGGAAAGATTATGGTTTGAAGATGTTATTCAAGGAATATAATACAGTGAAATAGATTTGGAAAGAGGAAAAAGAAAGGGACATGAAGAATTCATAAGATTAGAATTTGAGAGAACACAAAGAGTGGATGCACCTACGCCATTGCAAACGATTTTGATCCATATCATTCAAGATCTCTAACCATCGAATGCTATCATCTCGCTGATCCCAACCAGGTAGTCTAAACCTACCAACATGGCTCACATAATCCACTTGTTAGTGACTTCATGGATTTGTGGCATGTTTTGATCTGGCTGCCCCTAGCTTTCTTCCAACCTACTGCTATACCATTGAACATCTCACGTCGTTTCAGTCGGTGGTTGGGCATACGTAACACGTGTTCAAGCCATCTCAACTGATGATGTTTCACTACTTCATCCATTGATTTGCCACCCTTACTTAGTACCCGGTTCCTAACAACTGCGTTATTATACTAGAAGTAAAATATGCCTCAAAGAAAAAATGAATAAATTTATACTGAATATCTTCGCATAACTACTGTCAGATATATCTTAATGGTTAATCTATATTTAATAATAGTCAAGAGCTAAAAATTATTAAAAAGCAATAATTCTAGTGTTTCAGCTAATAGTCTGATCTGAGGATCTATTTAAGAAAAATAGTTAGAATGATACCGAAGTGTATTGTAATCAACTCTAGCCAATACATTCTATGTTTACCTGGTATTCAAGTACATACGATCAAGTACTGAATAGATCCTTAAATAATGACAAATGAGAAATACTTAGGATCAATAGTGTTTAGGTGAGTTTTATTCATGCCTTTATCTAACCATTTCATAATTGATAAGCAACTAACTTGAATAGATATATTATTTACACAATGGAAAATTTCATTACGTAATATTTTGATGCATTTCAGTTAGCGAATTGTGTCATTTGACATTCAATCGGTTAGAATTTTAAAGTCTGTTCACTGAATAAATTATCAATCTAATATCTTCAGTTATTTCGGTCAGTTTACTTTATAATAATCTGTCTTAACTTTGGGATTAAAATCATGAATCGATCAATATTAGACTACCATTGAAAACCTGGAAGTACTGAAAGGTCGCTTCATTCGAGTATGGGATTCCTCAGCAGTGCATATTCACGATCTTACTTACGGGATTCGAACCCAGAACTTTCAGCCACGCGCACGAGTGCTTAACCTCCAAAACATTGAGTAGGCATCCATCGATGTTAATGTACAACTTTAACCAATTCACGAAATGGCGCCATTGTCCATGATTGTCTTCAGTGAGTTACAATCTTACAAGAGACCTGGTTGAACTCCACTGGTCACGGCTTTTCATTCTTCTTAAGTCATATTTTCACTTTATCAGTTATTCGCTTATCAACATTGACTGTTTTTATATAATCGTGTGTGAATGTATTGCTTATACTATTCATCACATATTTGTAACATATTTTTGTTTGAGTATAAATATTGAGTCATGCTTGGTTAAATCGATTTGGTTCACATGCCATCTCCAATTTGTTTCACTTCGTTTCAAAATCTATTCACGTATTTGACTTATTTTAATCCCGTTATTCACTAAAACGAATTAGGTCTATAATAATACATGAACATTGGTGGTATATTATATTTCAATAACAATCATTCATACAATCCAATGGAAGTCAGATAAAAAGACCACTAAAATATCCTTTATTTAATTGATTGAATATTCATTATCAACTTGTGACAACAATCCCTTTCCGACAACTCAAACTCCTATCATTTGATAATAGATTTTATCATAAACTGATATCATATAAAGAACCATTGAAATCTTACTTACTTACTTACTTACTTACTTACGCCTGGTACTCCTCGTGAACGAGCATAGGCCGCTCAATAGCGTTCTCCATTCAAAATTGTCCTATATAATCCTTTTCAATTCTTTCTAGTTGTTATTCATCCTTCTCATATCTGCTTCTATTTCCCAAATTAATGTGTTCTTTGACCTTTCACTTTTCTGCTTCCATTCAGGATTCCATGTTACAGCTTGCCTCGTGATGCAGTTTGATGATTTCCTCAATGTATGTCCTATCCACCAACTCCATCGTCTTTTCCTAATTTCCTCTTCAGTTGGAAGCTGGTTGGTTCTCTCCCACAGTAGGCTGTTGTTGATGGTATCCGATCAACGGATATTGGGTTTCTTGCGTAGACAACTATTTATAAATATTCATACCTTCTTGATGATGGTTGTTGTAGTTCTCCACGTATCCGCTCAGTACAGTAGAACTATCTAGACGTTGGTATTGAAGATTGTGACTTTGATATTGGTTGACAGACAGTTGTTTTTCAGTTCCATATATTCTTTAATTGAATGAATGAAGCCCTTGCTTTGCCAATCCTTACCTCTACGTCTTCATCTGAACCTCCTTGTTCATCGATGATGCTTCCAAGGTATATGAAGGATTCTACATCTTCCAAAGTTTCTCCATCAAATGTAATTAAATTGCTTGGTGTTTTCCATGTTGTATTTGACAACCTTAGTTTTCCGTATTGTGTATGTTGAAATCTACTGATGCAAAGACTGTTACTACATTAAAATCTACAAGACTTATGAATAGTATTGGATCATTTCAACTCATATTCATTACTAATGAGAATTATGCATAAATTATATGATTATCATAGATAAATAAATTAATGAATATACACATACTTACAATTAAATTTTTATTGAATAAATTAGTTTGACTTTTATTATTCCAATGTACTGATTTATATGAAGAACTAATTGGATCATGTAATTTATAAGATGGTACAAGGGTTTTTGTTGAATCATATATATTATATTGATTAATATGAAATTGTTTTAATGAATTTGAATGTTTATTTAATAAATTAATATTCTCTTCATTATCTATTATAGTATTCAATGAAACAGTTTCATCATCTGTACTAATTAAGCTACCACATTCTGAATTGATTATATTCATATCATCATGATATATAGTTGTTAATTGTTTTGGCTTATTGAATAATTTATATTTTTGATGAGATAAAGATGATCTAAATGTTCGAGATTTTGAATTCCCAATATAAATAGATTGATCAAATCCAGATGATGAACCAATATTCCAAATATCCGGTTCATTATTACTATTATTATTATTATTATTATTATTATTATTATTATTATTATTGTCAACTACATTATATTTCATTGGTGAATTAGTTCTTCTTTGTGGATTTACTAGATGATTTGTATTTATGATATAATTATCAGATATCTCTGGTAATATTATTGTTTTTGAATTTGATACATTACATGATGATGATCTGAATTGATTATCATTTTGTTTATTTGATCTATATAATGATAAATATGGATTAATTTGTGATCGATATTGATTGATTTGATTTTTATTGAATTGATTTATTGATAATATTGTTTCTGGTATCATTTGTATAGATGATTTTTTAGATTGAATATGATTATACAGGTTTTGTTGTTTTATATTTGATTTATAATATGAATGATTTCCTCTTTCATCATAAGTATCTTTTTCTAATTTATTTGGAATAATTAATGGTGAATATGATCGTTTAGGTATACAATATGTTGCATTAATAGGTTGATAATTTCTTATTGATTTTTGAATCTGTGATGGTGGTGGTGGCGGCGGTGGTGGCGGCGGCGGCGGTGGTGGGGGTGGTGGTAGTACTGGTGATAATACAATTCTTGGCATTTTACTATTGAAACCATCATTTTGCTGTTGTTTCGAATGACACAATGTATCATAACGATTTTGTGAATGACTATATGATTTTGAAGTTATTCTAGTGTTATAATTAGAAAATGGTTCATAATTACAACTTTCTATAATATGTGATACGGTTGAATTAGTATTATCACGTGTATAGAATGATTTATTTCCTATCCATTGATTAGACGATGATGATAATGGTAATGATGATGATGGTGATGGTGATGATGACGATGATGTATAATTTCCTGACATTATAATAAATATTTTTGTCACCTTGTTTATCTTTCAATCAATCAATCAATCAATCGATCAATCAATCAGTTAAAAAAATGTTTTATAATAATAATAATCGTAGTGATTAGAAAAAAAATTCAATATCACTATAGAATTATGTTAATCATTATTGTGAATAGATTATCAAAAGAAATCATTGATGTCACAAATGAATCAGTAATGTAAACAGGTGAAGAATATATTCTTTTCATGGTTACTTTTTATTTGTTTTCTGTTCATCTCTTTCCCTCTCACACTCACTCACTCACTCATTCATTCACTCTCTCTCTCTCTCTCTTTCTCAGTAACAACAAATAATAATAATAATAATTATAGTTGTTTCTAACAAGAATAACAACAACAACAACAACAACAATCACAACCACATAACAACATGTCCGCCTTTCATTTAAATTTCTTTCCTTTTGATTTGTTTTATATATATATATATATATATGTATATATCTACTTTGAAGAAAATAGTTTTGGCATTTTTCTTAAAATGGAACAAACTAATCGATTAATTTATTAAGAATTCTTTCAATAGTACAATTCATGTAACTCTACTGTGGACAAATATATACAAATGTATAAATGAATAGCTATACAATAATACACAAAACTACACAGATACATACACACACATACACACATATACATGAATTTCACTTAAGTACATAAAACATGTCATTATATATATATATATATATATATATATATGTATATACACATGTAAAGTTTAAGAAATTATCCCTATACAAACTAACAAAATGTAACATATTGTTATTACCAATCACGGCTACTGTTGAACCTATTTGATTTCCAAATTATTTATTTACTAGACACCTTAATTTTAAACTAAAAATAGTTAATATGAATGTTTACTTATTCGTTTTTTTTTAATTTCATTTCTCATTTTTATGTCATAGAAATTTGATTAGAATGGTTCTTTTTTTTGTAATGTTAAACGTTCACTATGTGACTTTAAGGATCCTGGTTTGATCATTAGTAGAGTAGTGGATATTTGTCCTCAAATGCCCTAATACGGCCGAGATTAGGGAAAGTTCACTATCCCATTCGAAATGCTCTCACATGTCCATGTGTATATAACCTCTGGCAGGAAAATCTTACTCAATATATTCTCGTTGAGGGAGTGTTGTTTAACGCGGTTGGTGGACACGGAGAGTCCATCTAGAGGAGTTCGGAAACCCTAATTCCGAACCGATGGTACACATGAACTCTAGGATCCTGAAGGAAAAAAATAGCGTATAAACCAATCGTTGGTCACCGGCTACCATGGGATTGCATCGTTTTACATTGCTCCATTGCCTTGTGGATTAAACTTTTAGGTCAAAGGCTCTGTGTGTGGCTCCTTAAGAGAATCACCTGGATCGCTCTGGGCAACCGGGCAGTATCTCAGCCCTCACAAAAATCTAATGAGATGGCAAATAAATAAGTAAAGGATACTCACTACTGAAATATCTTATACTAGAATGATACATGCAGTTTTTAATGTCAGTCTAAGATGAAATAGTACTGTAATCGGAAAAATTGTCAAGTTTAATTGTCGCTAGTTTAATTGTCACCAGTTGCGTTTCAGATAAATATGTAAACAATTAGTATAAAATCATCGAAGCAAATGTAAGTGACTGTTTTGCTACTTTATGTTGAACACAATTTATGTGTTAAATCTATTTTTTGTATAGTAAAAGGTATGTTGAGACTTCCATTTAAAATCAATTCTGTTCATCATAAATCTATATAATAACCATTTGTAAACCATGGAAGACATAGGATTGAAATAGGAAACGTCATATTTAGTAAGTACCATGATACCAATCAGATTACTAAGTGACAATCTAAAGTTAGACTACCATCCACAAACCCACACGTAGAAATCGAATGTAGAACTTTCGGTCCTGCACGTGAACGATTAACTTCTAGACGGTGTTAATGTCATTTTATGACATTGCGCGACCATTTCCATTTCCTTCATTGAGTGAATCCCTCACATTCAGCACACTCTAGCTCCAATAGTCACAGCTCATATAGTGACCGAATTGGAAAGACTAAATATCATTTATGATTCATCAAGACATGTATGTTTATACAAAACATCTAACACATTTCCATTTGAAGTAATACAATGGAAATGAAGACAACTGTTGTAACTTATATTCCACATCTCTTAACAAAATTCAACAATGTTGAATTTAACCTGTCTCAAATAAATGAACAACAAGAAAGTAAAGCAATTTATGTATGGATCCAGTACTTTCGACTTTAAGTGACATCAGTTTTTATCCGTTCAAATTATAGTATGTGAAGTTGGATTCGAACTTACGACTACAAAACCAGAAATGAATACAACTTACAACTATGATTATTACATAATTGAATAGAGAAATCACATGTATATTTCTTAAACAGTTGAAAGGTGATTTTAATTCTACAACTAACTTTTGCTTTTGTTTAGTGTATGTGTACATTACGGAACAGTTTTGAATTTCAATGAAGTAACTATCTAGTACACTCAGGTTATAATTGGCACTTCGACTGATATCAGTTCACCATCTAATCAAGTTTCAAACTTCCAAGCCATCTCTACAACCATTTTAATATTGTTAGTTCTTCATTCTGTAAACAGATCCACTGAATAGTGAATACTGGTTTCTTGTTTAATATGCTGATGAACGAATGCTTTCAGGTGAGACTTATGACAATAAATGTTTTACCACTGAAATAATAGAAAGCACGGAATACAATGGACAGCTCAGAATCAATTAAACGATCTGGAATTCGCAGATGATCTAGCCCTCCTATCCAATACACACGAACCAATGCAGATGAAGACAAATGATGTGTCAGCAGCCTCTGCATCAGTAGGCCACAACACACATAAAGGAAAAAGCTAGATCCTCAGATACAACACGAAGTACACCAAGCAACACTATCACACTCGATAGAGGAACTTTGGAAGATGTGAAATCTCTCACGTAACTTCAAAGCATCATTCACGAACAAGAAGAATCCGATGCAGACGTAAAAGCGAGGATTGGTAAAGCAAGGACCGTATTTCTACAATTGAAGAACATATGGAACTCAAAACAACTGTCTGTCAACCAATACGGAAGCCACAATCTTCAATACGAACGTCAAGACAGTCCTATTGTACGGAGCTGAAACGTAGAGAACTGCTACAATCATCAAGAGAGAACAAACCAGCTTCCAACTGAAGAGGAAATTAGGAAAAGACGATGGAGTTGATGGATAGGACATACATTACGCAAATCATCAGACTGCATCACGAGGCAAGCTGTAACATGGAATCCTGAATGGAAGCAGAAAAGTGAAAGATCAAAGAACACATTATGTCGGGAAATAGAAGAGGATGTGAAAAGGATGAATAACAACTGGGAAGAACTGGAAAGGATTGCTTTGTACAGTGTTGAGTGGAGAATGTTGATGAGCGGCCTATACTTCTTCACGAGGAGTAACACGCGTATGTAAGTAAGTACTGAAATAATCATCATTTTCACTTCAAACCTAAGAAACAAACATTTAGGTATCAGTATCATAAAACATTTCTTGTACATAAAATTAATCTCATCCGTACTAATCATCCCAAGTACACTTTTTTTTAATTTTCGAAATGTTTGGTGTTTAGCCCATAACTGTAAACATCTATGTTGCTAAATATTTGTCAGTATTTAACAGACTGTGTAGCAGCAGCCTCTGCAACAGTAGGTCTCAACATAAACAAATAGAAAAGCAAGATCCTCCGATATAACACAACATGTACCAATCCAATCACACTTGATGTAGAAGTTATGGAGTATGTAAATACCTTCACATATCTGGGCAGCATCATTGATAAACACGGTGGATATGATGCAGATGTAGAGGCGCGGATCGGCAAAGTAAGAGTAGCGTATCTACAATTGAAGAACATCTGGAACTCAAAACAATTGTCAACCAACACCAAGGTCAGAATTTTCAATACAAATGTGAAGACAGTTCTATTGTATGAGGTGGAAACTTGGAGAACTACGAAAGCCATCATCCAGAAGATATAAGTGTTTATTAACGGTTGTCTACTCAAAATACTTTGGATCCATTGGCCAGACACTATCAGTAACAACCTACTATAGGACAGAACAAACCAGATCCCAGTGGAGGAAGAAATCAAGAAGAAGCACTGGAAGTGGATAGGACACACATTGAAGAAAGCACCGAACGGCACCACAAGGCAAGCCCTCACTTGGAATCGTCAGGAACAAAGAAGGAGCAGAGGAAGACCAAAGAATACATTACGCCGATAAGTGGAGACAGACATGCAAAAAATGAACAACAATTGAATAGAACTAGAATGTTTGATCCAGTACAGTGTGTGTTGGAGAATGCTGGTTGGCGGCCTATGCTCCATTGAGAGTAACATGCATTAATAAGTGAGTAAGTAAGTAAATTTAAAAGAATGATCAACCAAATTTACATTTTATTAATAACATTCAATAATATGAATTCATTTTATTTCGTTAGATTCTCATCAGTTGCTTAAAACTGGTAGCATTTGAAAATTAAAGTAATGGCAAATATTGACATACATAAGTGGTTCGATATGAATATATGTATCGTGAAGTAATGAAGATTTCAATAGAGTTCAATAAAATCATAAAGAATTTTAAGTTTCAGATAAATAAATAAAGTGTGAGAAGGAAAGTTCCAGAACATTGAACTAGCGATTAGAACTTAGCGAGTTACCTAATATTAGATAATTGTGTAATGAAGTAACTGAAGAAATAAACAAACAGATTAATGGTCATAAAGAGAGATATGAGTTGAAATTAAACTGATGGTGTAGCAATGTGAATTACATTAGGTTATGCACTAGAAGATATTTTCATAGCTTACCTCCAAAGAACTAAGCTCAAGTGATCGATGAAATGATGTATTATTCGAGGTTTATTGATAATATCTTCATCGTATAATAATCAATAGCATACAAAAAATCTGCTGAAACTTTTCAATGAAGACGATAAAAATTTATTCAGTTTACTATGGTATATGAAAATGAAAACAAGTTTTATTTTATCGACATCGTAATAGAACGGATGTAGGATTGTACGGTCCAACGTTCAGTTTATACAAAACACACACGAAATGGGATTTATCTCAATTTCAATAGCTTTTGTTCATTCAATTACAAAAAGATACTGGTTACAATGAAGTGTCGGTTATTATGTCAAGCCCATATATCTTATTCTAGCTATCGGATAGCCTAATCTATTCATTCTACTTGAGTCATATTTTGATCTTGTTAATTATCCGCTTACCAATCTTCACTGTTTTTATATGAGCCTGTAGGTGTGTGTACACTTCTTATCCCATTACTCATCACATGCCTGTAACTTATTTTTGTATGA